CCCCTTTTCAGACGATCTCGAGCTCCACCATGCCATCATTTCCGCTACTTTTCTAGGGTGCACCAACATGATGTTTGAATGTTGTAAATAGCAAGGCCCACATTCTCTAGCAAACTTGCAATATAAAAGATGATCCATATCCTCTACAGTTTGGTTGGAAAGAAACTCCAGATGCTTTGAAAATTCAGCGAAAGCTGAACAGAAGATCAAAATGAATAGTATATTTTTGTTTCATTTCTGGTGTAAAGAAGCTTAGTTCAAGATGTAGAGTCCTTAGTTGATCTCATCGGGTCCTTTTAACTGACACAAGACTTGTCTTTTGCTTGTTTTTACCTTTTTGGAAGTCTTATAACTAGGGCTTGTTTCTCTTAGCACTATCTTTGTGCTGAGACCTTTTTTTTTTTAATCCTAATGAAATATGTTACCATCTAAAAAAACGATGATCCATATCCTGCCTAAGCTTTTTTGACATGCAACACCAGCATACCTAGTCAAAAATGCTACTTTCTTCGGTGTGCTAGTTCTCCATATATATATAACTAGAAGTATTAAAAAATAAAACCCTAACATCTAAATCGTGCCAAAAGAGTCTTATTTCCTTCGTTTCTCATTATTTTACAAGAGGAAATGCAATTCTCTTTAAAGTGAAAAAAAGCAAATACTAAGAAATTAACTTTTTTATTTTACAAGAGGAAATACAATTATCTTTAAAGTGAGAAAAACAAGAACTAAGAAATGAACTCTTTTTCTTAAAATAAGAATGTAAAAATCTTTTGAAATGTAAACCACAAAATGTATGAAGTAGATACAAGATTGACTGAAACTTAATGCAATTACAATATCCAAACCGCTTCACAGTTTCTCAACTCAAAGGTGGATATGCATGCACCATTAGTTTTTCAATAGTCATACCTATTATGAAATTTTCTTTCCCTCAATCTGCTATTGCCTTAACTATAATGCCCAACCATTGTTGTTATAATTTTCCATTTGGGCATCAATTTCCTCTATGTAAGTTAAGAAAATGAATATTGGACCTAACTCAATTCCAAAAGCTAGCTCATAAGGTGAGGATTACCCAAAACGATATAAGAAGACCAATTACCCATCCCACAACTAATGTGGGACTTATAACATCTTCGGACGCGTAAGACTAGACATCTGGAGCATGACAATATAACATGGGAGCTTAACATCGGGTAAACCAAGAATTACAATAAGCCTAGCTCTAATACCTTGTTAAGAAAATGATCCTTGGGGTTAACTTAACCAAAAGCTAGCTCATGAGTTAAGGATTGTCCAAAACCATATAAGGAGACGTTGAGGTGTGATTTGTATTTTTTTTTTTATTGAGCTAGAATAGGGGAAAACTCCCAAATTAGCAAATTATATGAGGAAGAAAGAGAGTTAAAGAACAAGATGCAAGAAAGAGAGAGAACAAGTAGGGTAAAAGCATAACTCATGCAGCCTAAGTGCTTAAGTGATTATGATAATTTCCTAAAATGGGTGTTTACACCACATAAAGGCTTGTGTTCGACACTCTACTTTTTGGTATACTTCTTGTATACGGGAGTTTTTTCTCCCTTTTGATTAATACAATTTACCTTATCAAAAAAGAAAAAGGCTTGTGTTCGACACTCTACTTTTTGGTATACTTCTTGTATACGGGAGTTTTTTCTCCCTTTTGATTAATACAATTTACCTTATCAAAAAAGAAAAAGGCTTGTGTTCGACATGAAAGATACTACCTTCACACCTTGCTTTTTTGCATTGGATGAGGAGGCTCCATCCCTTTTTAAAGTTAGAGTTGATCTCAAAGATAAGGGTTGGTGATTTTGTGATGAGAGAAGCTCCGAACGATAAACATGCTTGGACTCCTTGTGAAGTTACGTAGTCTTTGTTAAATTGGACTTGTGAGGTTGAAAGGAGAGACAAATATCAAGAACTAGAACTGCCAATCGAGACTTATTAAAAAAGAAAAAATATGTCAATAATCTTTGTGAATATCTATTGAAAAAATTTGATGTCTAAGAAATCTTGGAACTTTTCTTCACAACTCTAATTGCTTGGTAATATTGAGCATAAAAGGTTTTTGATGCATACGACAAAGTTTTCCACAACCTACAAACAAGTTTTCCACAAAATATCTCTTATAATTTTTAGTATATTTTTATAAATCTATTTTAGAATTTTGATTTTTTTCCCCAAATCCCTGTGCCCGTATTCGTGTTCGTATTTGGATCTCGTATCCCCGAATCTTAAAATTTTAATTATAAAGGATCCGGCCTCTAGATCTGCACTCGGACCAGATACCCGCATCCGAGTCAGGTTTGCGTACATACTACCCTCCTCAGACCCCACTTGTGGGATTACATTGGGTTTGTTGTTGTTGGTATCAACGCCTATTGGTAGGCCCGACATGTGGGGATGTTAAAGTTGTCCCACGTTGGTTGTGGGATATGGGACTAGTCTCCTTATATGGTATAGTACTCACTTCATGAGCTAGCTTTTGGGTTGAATTAGGTCCAAGTTCCATTTTCTTTACAATAACATTATTGTGGTTTGTCCTATAGCACTACACATTCTATCAACATGATTCATATGTCCCGTGAGGATTTTGTCAATTGTTTATGGTTGTCTACCACAAGATAAAGAGTAGGTTATTGTTTTAAGATGCAAGTTATTCTTATATGTTGGATGT